AAAATCTTGGAATTCAGACGACATAAGTTGAGATGTGAGGAAACAAATAAATAATTCTTCAAGCAAATTTAAACTTTAAGCAAATTTAAATTAAAAAGTCCTTAAAATAAATTTAATGATGATTAAAATCTGACCTAGAAACATGATAGGGTGAGACTATACTGCCACTTAGTGGACACGAACAAGACATTTCTCTATGAATGTGGCAATGTGCTTTTGGTAACTTATGCAAAAGGAAAAAATAACTGGTCACCGGCCTAAATGTTTCTACATGTTATACACAACACTGAATACTTACAAAGAATTATACACAGGCTGAGCATTACAAAGTGTTCTTACTGTTACAATCAATCTACTTAGCACCAAAGAAAATAATCAAATTATCAAATTTTGGGTTTGTTTACATAACAAAATATAGCCAAACCTTTGTATTCGTGTGTTCAATAACACCCCCATCCACCCAAGATTCATGTGCATAGTTTTTTTTACTTTATTTTTTTTTAAATTAGAATTCAAGTTACGAATACAAGCATCACAGTTCGTAAACAAATATTATTCATCGAAAAATGAATAAACACCAAAATAAAGTTAATTTATAAAATAATTAAATTAAATCAATCAAAATAATAATACATAAATAGACAGACTTACAAACTTCATTATTTATAAAAAGAAAAATATTTTGCATTAACGCAGGTTCAGCATGACGTCAGGAATAACGTTTTCTGTATAAGATGAGTAGCTTATCTTGATTATGCTAATCTTTGAGGTGAAAGTTTTAACTCCACTTAAGATCTCCAGCCTTTTCAGACTTGTTCATATAAACTGACATGCTTTCAAAAGTGTGTCGCTATTGTAGGCTATGCATATAATTGAGCTCACTGTCACTGTTATTTTGAAAAGTCGGAGGATCCTCCCAACTGACTGTACCTCACGAGTGTGTATGGTGTGCACGAGAAATTTACTTTCCTTCCGGATTTTGCCCTTAAGTGAGCAGGTTTGTTTATGTTTACTGAATCTACGCACGTTTTGTCGGGAAAAACACCTTTTGTAGTTTGGTCATGACTCATGAAGCGAGAGCTTCTAAGCACCATGCAGCCCTTTGACAACTTTCAAGTTCGTTCAGCTCGCCTCCTGTTCTTAATGTCCAAATTGGTTTATTGCAGGAAGATGTTGGTGGATTTTGAAGCATAAAGATTTTTCGCAAAACTGCTTGGCACTAAAATGAGGAGTCGCAGCAATTCTGGAGTTAAACTTGACAACTATGCGCGGATAGTTCATCAGACTATTCTGCGTCACCAAGTGAGTGTTTCATTTCTAACGTTACACTGACTGACTAAAGAGCTTGTTTTCACTAAACATGCCTTCATTCAATGAAGTTCTTATAAGTAGTATCACATTGTTGATGTTCTTTAGTTATTGGATCTGTATTTATGTACATTATATAAAAAAATATATCCCATTTTTGTGTTCTGTTAATAACAAACAACCAAACACTTTATAAAATGTATAATAAAATCTACATCATGTATTTCAGGGCCGAGTTTGACTAGGGTTTGGTGCAAAAATAGGGTCTGGAAAGTGACAATATCGACCAATTAGGCTACTCAAACTTGTAATTCTGTTAATTACTCATTTATTTATCTGTGCTAGTGTGCTTATTTATTTTCCATTTAATTCAAAACTCAGACTGAGTGTTTGACATAGGCTAAGTAAAACACATTATGTGATTTTACATGGTTACAAATAATACACCGTCCTTCATAAAGATAAAAAAAACCCCCATGAATATAAATTCCAGGGCAAAAATTTGTGAAATGTTAAGAAAGGTCAGCAAGATTGTAATTGTTTAAAAAAAGGCTCACCATTTATTTGATATAAATAAGGTAAAAATAGTGATAATGTGAAATATTATTGCTATATAAAATAACTTTTTTATATTTTAATATATTCTATTTAATTTATTCCTGTGATGGCAGAGCTGAATTTTAAGCATCATTACTCCAGTCTTCAGTGTTGCATGTTGCTTCAGAAATCATTATACAGTAATATTCTGATTTGCTGCTCAAGAAATCTTTCTTACTATTATCAATGTTGAAAACAGTGCTGCTTGATATTGTTGTCGAAACTGTGATAAAAAAAAAAAAAAAAATCAGGATTCTTTGATTAATAGAAAGATTGAAAGAACACCATATTTGAAATATATTTTTGTAACTTTAAATACGCCTTTACTGTCAATTTGATTTAATGCATAATTTCTGAATAAATGTATTAATTTACTTAATATCTTTCTTACTGATCCCTAACATTGAACAGTAGTCTACATAATATATAGTTTACCATATACTATGTATTTGTGTTATACTCTATGTGGTAAAGGTAATTCTTGCTTATTGATTAGTTGGATAGTGTGCAAACCGAGGGCAATGGCAGAGCAGATTTATCATGTAGTTATTAATCATTTTAACTAACTGTATTGGAAATTTGCAGGACCCTGTGACAGGCCTGTTACCAGCAAGCAAAGAGCAGCCTGATGCCTGGGTGAGGGACAATGTCTACAGCATCCTGTCTGTCTGGGCTCTTAGTTTGGCTTACAGGAAGAATGCAGACCGCGATGAAGACAAGGCTAAAGCCTACGAGCTTGAGCAGGTACAACCTGGGACGGGACATGTTTGTTTAGATTTTTTTTGTTTTATTAATCCATTGGAATTTTTAAGATATTTGTTCAGTAATCACATTTGTTCATTCACATTTTGTTCAACAAAACCAACAAACTCAATATGTTCGACTGCATGACAGTCTGTGATCACGCGAGCAAACTCTAGCAACCGTTGAATAATCTTCATTCGAATGATCTTAAATTAGACGCCACACCAAAATATTCACCTGTGGCTATTTTAGAGGCTATTTCTGTGCGTGTTTTTTGTGTGTTTTTTTTAAAGAATGGTCAGTTGTCTTTTCATGCCCCATGTGTGTATGTATCAGTGTACCTAAGCTGTCTCTTTACAGTGGGCTCAGAAGTGTCATGTTACTCTTGCCTGTGCTATTAAACGATGAGCCGAAAGGTCACAGTCGAGCCTGTTCCTTGTGTTGTTTTTGGAGGCAGTCTGTGTGCACTGATTTCTGTTTTTCTTCTTTCAGAGTGTGGTAAAATTAATGAGGGCACTTCTTCAATGCACCATGCGACAGGTACCATCAGCTCTTAACACTGACTGCAGTAATGGCAGCTGAAAACTCAATTTTCCACAAATGTGCAAAACATATAGTCTGTTGACTATAGGTAAAGTTGCACCTAGATGTCTACTAAGTCTCATTAGAGTATTAGTTGACTATAGTAGACTGTTAGGGTTAGGATTAGTTGAATAAATTGGCATGTACTTGCAAAGTAATTTATAGTCAGTTAATGTCTGTTGGGGAACACCGAAATAAAGTGTTAGCAGATTTTAAGCAGACAGTCTACTATTACTCTACTGAGAGTAAGCTGACATGTAAGTGCAACATTACTTATATAATCTCTGTTTGGGGACCATCAAAATAAAGTGTTACCTAATTTACAATATTAATGTTTGTATTGTATTTTTGATCTAATAAATGCTGCCTTGGTAAACATAAGGGACTTTTTTCAGAAACATAAAACAACTATTACAGACCCCAAATTTTTTGATTTGGGTCTACTTAAAGATGTAGACTCAAATATACAAATGCACGTACATAATTATGTATCATTATCTGTCAGTCTTGAAAGCACCCACTTAAGGGTCAAGATTAAATGTGCATAACATAAATGACCACTTGTCTGAAGTGTTCTCTCTTGTCCCCCCACAGCTGGACAAAGTGGAGAAGTTCAAATACAGTAAGAGCACTTTGGACAGCCTTCACGCCAAGTATAACACTCAGACCTGTGCCGCGGTGGTGGGTGACCGGGAATGGGGGCATCTCCAGCT